TAATCCCTTAGGAGATTTAGTCGAGTCCTAAATTTTTTAATCAAGGTAATAATGCAAAATAATCTTCATAATAAAAATATGTTATAAGAAATTATAAACAATTTAAATAATACCATTAATAAAACTGATATTGAAGAAATGGTAAAATATTACTTAAACATAGACAATACAGTGTATTCTTCATAAAATTGATAAATATATTAGCTTTTTTTCAAGAGATCTAAAATCCGTTTCTGTACAGATTGAGCAAAAAATCATTAATGTATCTTCAATGAACTGTGTAGCCCCCCCCCCGATGTTCTCGAATATACAAACACACGCACACATAGAACATTAGATAAATTACTTTTTTAGCTTATTTTATTGTAGAATTGCATATAAATACAAATCGTTTCATCTGAGTTTTATATTTAGATATTGTAGTTTGTTTGTTTGAAATTAAGCACAAAGCTACACAAAGGGCTATCTGTGCTCTGCCCACTACGGGTATCGAAACCCGGATTCTAGCGTTGTAAGTCCGCAGACATACCGCTGTGCTACTGGGGGGGGGGGCAATATTGTAGTTGAGAATGCTCTGAACATAAAAGAATCACTATTTTTTTCTAAAGTTTGTTCTGGTTTGTCAAAACAAAACAACAATCATTTAATTGTGTAACGTTTAATGTTTTCACTTACTTTCTAGATGTGTTAAATATTTGCAGTAGACTTTTATGAAATACAATTTATCGATATCTTGTTGTGTTTTTTTTTTCTCTACTAGATCCTCTATTTGCTTAGGAAAGTTAGCTACGTACCCAGGAAGTCCGCTACTCTCCATCTTATTGGCTAGCTCAACATCTCTGCTGTAGACGTCAAACTGCCATTGTCGCTGTCCTAGCACTCCAGCTAAAACGCCACCTGTGTGAATTCCCACTCTCATGTCGACTGTCGATCTTGTTTCCTCCCGAACCGATCTAATGTAATTATACACAGCTGTATTAAAAAATGTAAATGAACCGATCTAATGTAATTATACACAGCTGTATTAAAAATGTAAATGAACCGATCTAATGTAATTATACACAGCTGTATCAAATACTTAACTGACTACAAAATGCCAAAAAATCGAGAAGTTTCAAGAAAACCCAGAGTAAAATAATATATATATATAAATGTCACTATCTTTCTGATTAAACCTATTACTGGGTCAACAAAGCCGTGTAAGAGAAATTAATCTGTTTTATTTTGTGGGAGACAGAGTGTGGTCTGAATAATGTGCCAAACTGTGAATCTGAGGTAGAATATAAAGTAATGATGAAAGAATCGCCAAATTAAAATAAGTATATTGATAAAACACGAAAACAACGTTTCGGGCAATCTGATGAAAGGCTGTTGCCCGAAACGGTGTTTTCGTGTTTTATCAATATAATTATTTTAATTTGGCGAGTATTTTATCATTACTTTATATTTTTTATTTCCTCGCCTACGCAATTATTTTATCACTAGAACTATTTTATTACTGTGAATCTGAAGGTTCAAGGTTCGCCGCAAAATCACGTTTCTCACTTCGGGTGGGTAGGCCGCAGGTGCGTGATCAGAGAGACAGTCAAATTCTGCTACTCGATTAGGGTAGCAGAGGAGCTGGTGGAAGGTACTTTCGACTACTAGCTACCTTCCATTTTTCACAACTAGTTTTGTTTTAAAAAAACAGTGATACGACAAAATCCAATAAACGTTTTCATTTCTTCATTTAGACACTAGAGGGCGATATTAAAATGAGTTGTATTTGCATTGAAGTATACCTACTCGTTACAAGTAATCTTCAAGTGTCTTATTATTTCACAGACATTTTTGGTACTTTATCAGTAACTATGTTTTTGTAAGTTAATTGAGCATTTAAGAATTTTGAGCAAAACGAAGAATAACCTGTTTGTTTCGGATATTTGCGCTAAGCTACACATAGGTTTTCTGCTGTATCTAATTGTGAACTGATTAACTATTCAACAGCGCTCATCGTCAACTCTTGGACTCCTATTCTCATTGAATAGTGGGATTTGACTATCACTCTTATAACCCATACATAAAGTGTAGAGTATGACTTTGTGGCAACGGGATGCGAACAGCGGACTCTCGTATCGACAGCCCGTACGCTAGCCACTAGAATATACCCGGCTCGCTCAAGGATAGAGGAAAAAAAAAGTATATTTATTTCAAATATATTAAACTACGTGATGTTGATTGTAGTACAATGGACATTTCTTTCTGAATAAAGCAAGACCCACTACCTACGCAGAAGGGCAGGGTTGGCTGAGGTGTTGACTTATCCGGATTTTGAATCTGAAGATTCATGGTTTGTGACCTGTTGTCACACAAAAATATGGTCTTAGCTTTTTGGGGCCAACGATGCGCTATAAGATAACGTTTAAAATCAAGGTTTGGCTATAGGTGCTGTTAATTAGCAATGTCTCCTCTAGTCAGTCAGCTCAAATTTAGGGATGGCTTGGAGCAGTTAACCCTTGTGTAGGTTTGCGCGAAAATTCTGAAAAAACAGTCAAAGAAGTAACTTCGGAGAGATTCTTAAGAATTATTTTATTAGATCAAAGATACTTTGTATAAAACTTGTTAGAGTCTTGATATTGTGAGTGAATTTGTTGATGTTTGTTTATTTGTTATAAAGCATAAAGCTACACAATGGGCTCGGTTTTTAGCGTTATAAATCGTGACACTGAGCCTATGAGAAACATTTCCTGATACAAGTTTGAAGCCGAAACTTTAGGTCAGTGAAATAATTTAGAAATGTTTCTGGAGTTACAAGTCGTTTGGTTATTCATTTTATTTTAATTATTTATGACTGGATAATTCAAATAGACCTGGTCACTGTAGCATGCTCGCCCTTTCAGCCGTGGAGGCGTTATAATGTGACGCTTTTACCCACTATTCGTTGATAAAAGAGTAGCCCAAGAGTTGGCGGTGGGTGGTGATGACTAGCTGCCTTCCCTCTAGTCTTACAAAACCCAGTTTTTACTGCTTGTTTGTTGTAAAACACAAAGCTACGCAATTATTTATCTGTGTTCTGCCCACTGTGGATATCGAAACCCAATTTTTAGCGTTATAAATATATTGACTTACCGCTGAGCTACCGCGTAGAAGGGGGCAACAATTTTAACCCTTCGTATCCTCACTCGTAGTTAAATGAATCCAACGAATGAAGGAAACAAGCTGACGTTTCTAAAGATTTGTGTGGCCCGGCATGGCCAGGTGGTTAGGGCCGCTCGACTCGCAATTTGAGGGTCTCGGGTTGGAATTCCCATCCCACCAAACATTCTCGCCCTCTGAGCCGTGGGGGTGTGATAATGGGACGGTTAATCCCACTATTCCTTGGTAAAAGAGTAACCCAAGAGCTGGCGGTGGGTGGTGATGACTAGCTACCTTCCCTCTAGTCTTACACTGCTAAATTAGGGGTTGGTAAAAGAGTAGCCCAAGAGTTGGCGGTGGGTGGTGATGACTAGCTGCCTTCCCTCTAGTCTTACACTGCTAAATTAGGGACGGCTAGCGCAGATAGCCCTCGTGTAGCTTTGCGCGATATTCAAAAACAAAAAACAAACAAGCTAAATTAGGGAAGGCTAGCTCAGATAGCCCTCGTGTAACTTTTACGCGAAATTGAAAATAAACCAAACCAAACTGTAGCATCTCACCACATACGTTTTAATTCTGTTTACTAAACCAATAACTGCTTCAAAAAAACTCAAAGGTTCCAAAAGTTACATTTATTCATCTTAATCTTGTTACTTGTATTATTGACTGCATCGTACGTGACACATACTTGTATATTCAGAAGTTATTTCTAATTTTGCACGTGGTCTGTGTTCGCTTTTGATACATTTTTTCGCACATGACAGATTCGCTATTACATCACAAAGCTCGTGTACACACTCAGTATATTTTCTGATTTATTCCTTTTGATTTTCTTTAGGAGAACTGCGAAACATTTCATATCAGAACTACTGACATGCACGTGTTACCCGGGTGGGGGAGAGAGCGATAAGTTTAAGGACTCACAATGCTAAAGTTCGGGGATTGATTCCCCGCGGTAGACGCAGCAGATAGCCCAATGTGGCTTTGCTCTAAAACAAACAAACAGACAGACATGCACGTAAAATGTAAGTTACCTCACTATACCAAAGGAAAATGTATAATAATTAATGAGACAAAAATTGTGAAAGACGTTTCAATGTTACTATAACAATGTAGTTCCATGTGTTATACTTTGTATGTTACAGTTGCTAATAGGAATATAGGCCAAATCAGTCTTTCAACAAAGAAAATAGTTCCAAGTTTGATTTGGTTTCTTTTTCTTTAAATTAACGCAAAGCTACATGAAGGCTATCTGCACTAGCCGCCCCTTATTTTACCAGTGATAGACTAGAAGGAAGGCAGTTAAATAACAGCAGCCACCGCCAACTCTTGGGCTACTCTTTAACCAACGAGTAGTGGGATTGACTGTAATATTATAACGTCCACACGACTCAAAGGGCAAGCACGTTCGTTCGGTGTGACGGGGGATTCGAACCCACAACCCGCAGATTGCGAGTCGAGTCATGTAAGTGGTGTGTTGAAAAATTGAACGAAGTGCGAGATATTTATCAGCGAGAAAATATAATCATTCTATCTTCTACATCACAGGCTGTACGAGACAATAAATAGTGAAAATCAAGGGAAAAGCTCCATGTCTCACGTACTGAATACCTTAAAGTGCTAGAAGCAATTTATTTCTTGAATTCCCCCATCAACCAGCCTTAACTTGTATTCGTGGTGTTCAATTTGGTTAGAGTAAGGAAATCCCTCGCCAGGTGGAATTCTTGATATAAGTTTGAAGAATAGTCAAGATGCGGATTCTTCGTTCTCAGCTCTACCATAATAACTTGTTCCATTGGCGCTAAAAAAAAACACTTTTGATTGTTTTTATTTACAAGTTAGCAAGAATCTAGAGTTTGTTTGTTTGTTATGAATTTCGCGCAAAGCTACACGAGGGCGTTAGCCATCCCTAATTTAGCAGTGATAGACTAGAGGGATTTTTTTTAATTTCGCGCAAAGCTACACGAGGGCGTTAGCCATCCCTAATTTAGCAGTGATAGACTAGAGGGATTTTTTTTAATTTCGCGCAAAGCTACACGAGGGCGTTAGCCATCCCT